TTCGAACTACTAATTTGATGGCCAGAAACTACAGATTGCTTCAAATATGTGTTGGCATCTCTGCTACATGATGCTGTGATAACCTCGACCCATGCTTCCTCTTGCAGGACTTGCACAGAGAGCTAGAGGCGAGTGCTCCCAAGGTGGAGTCCCTGCTGGCACGTGGAGCCGAGCTGCTCAGTAAGGGGGACGTGGAGAACGCTCCTGGACTCGGTCACAGCCTGAAGACCCTGAAGCAGCGATGGGACAACGCACAGATGCGCGCGCAGGACAGACGGGTAAGCGAACGCAAGCTAGCTAATCACGGTGGTGCTTGGCTCTCTAACGACCCCAGCCCACCATGATTAACTAATTATATAACCCATGTCACGGAAATCGGTGCGGCATTGTTGCCGAGGTGTTATGCCTCCGAGTGGAAGGCAAACTTTCTATTACCAGTCGTAACTAGTACGATATACTACTACTTATGTACGTGCTACATACTACTTACCATCTATATATATATATATATACATATATATATGTGTGTACTACAGTGGTCCTTGCTTTATCCTACCTATATTTAGGGGTGGATAGTATAGAGAGTGTGTTACTGCTCTGCATTATTGTAATATGGTAATATCACTAAAAGAGAGTGTATAGAGATAGTAGAGTGTATATAGAGAGAGTAGAGAGAGAGAGAATATAGAGAGAGTGTGTTACTAGTCTGAATTATTGTAATATGGTAATGTCACTAAGAGAGAATAGAGAGAGAGAGAGAGAGAGTAGAGAGAGAGAGAGTAGAGAGAGTAGAGAGAGAGAGAGTAGAGAGAGTAGAGAGAGAGAGAGAGAGTAGAGAGAGAGAGAGTAGAGAGAGTGTATAGAGTGAGTGCGTTACTAGTATGTGTTGTTGTCGTGTTGCAGCACAAGTTAGAGATTGCGTTGAAGCAGGCGCATGAGTTCCACGAGGCTCTGCAGTCGTTCGTCGTCTGGCTGACCAACACCGAGAAGACGCTGAACGCAACGAAGCCAGTCAGTCGCTGCATGGACACCGTCGTCGCGCAGATAGAGGAACACAAGGTGATGCTCAGCCTTTTCCTCTTCCTACTCCTACTCCTCCTCATCCTTCTGCTGCTGCTGCTCCTCCTCCTGCTCTTCCTCCTCCTCCTCCTTCTCCTTCTCCTCAGCCAGTCAGTCGCTGCATGGACACCGTCATCGCGCAGGTAGAAGAACACAAGGTGATGCTCAGCCTCCCCCTCCTGCTACTCCTCCTCCTCCTCCTCCTTCTCCTCCTACTCCTCCTCCTCCTCCTCCTCCTCAGCCAGTTAGCTGCTGCATGGACACCGTCGTCGCGCAGATAGAGGAACACAAGGTGATGCTCAGCCTCTTCCTCTTCCTACTCCTACTCTTCCTCATCCTCCTGCTGCTGCTGCTGCTCCTCCTCCTCCTGCTCTTCCTCCTCCTCCTCCTACTCCCCCTACTCCTCCTCCTCCTTCTCCTCCTCAGCCAGTTAGCCGCTGCATGGACACCGTCGTCGCGCAGATAGAGGAACACAAGGTGATGCTCAGCCTCCTCTTCCTCCTACTGCTCCTCCTTCTCCTCCTCCTCCTCCTCAGCCAGTTAGCTGCTGCATGGACACCGTCGTCGCGCAGATAGAGGAACACAAGGTGATGCTCAGCCTCTTCCTCTTCCTACTCCTACTCTTCCTCATCCTTCTGCTGCTGCTGCTCCTCCTCCTCCTGCTCTTCATCCTCCTCCTCCTTCTCCTTCTCCTCAGCCGGTCAGTCGCTGCATGGACACCGTCATCGCGCAGATAGAAGAACACAAGGTGATGCTCAGCCTCCCCCTCCTCCTACTCCTCCTCATCCTCCTGCTGCTGCTGCTGCTCTTCCTCCTTCCTCCTCCTCCTCCTCCTCCTCCTCCTCCTCCTCC